CCATCTGCATTGTCTTCTTTGGAGAAATCTCTGTTCATGTCTTTTGCCTATTTTCTAACCGAGTAATTTATATTTTTGCTATTGAGTTGTAGGAGTGGAACCTTATCTTCTTAATCCAATATTCAAATGCTTGAACAAAGCCAAAACATTCTGGGATGTGGGGAGACGATAGAGGTTAGTGGGTAAGACTAGGGAGGTGAAGGAGAGAGAGGCAGAGAGCCTGGGAGCCCGGGCTCACCCTGTCTGGATGGACTAACAGTGGAGTGTGGGTATGTGGGAGGCTGGCAGATGGAGATATTCAGAGAAGGAAAGTGTGTGCAATTCTTCTGCGTAACAGTTCTTGCCTGTATTAGAATGGAAACCGAGAGTATACTGTACCACATTCTACCTGGGAAAAGATAATCAAATCATCTATTACCCACATTGCAATATGTGAACATTTTAGTAGATTGAGCTATATTCACCAGATAGTAAAGTCAAATAGCATTGATTATTGTCAAAAAGATACGGCATGTAGCTCAATTCAAAGCACTAATTCATAGCACTAAAATTTTGTTATAGCACTAAAACTTTTGCAAACCAGAAAAATACAAAGGATCCAATACACATAGATCCGGTTTGGTAGGTAAAAGACAAGATGTAGAAAAAAAGAAGGGATACTTTTCAAGCGCTTACTGCCAATAAAGCCACATTAACAATGAGCGAAGAGAAGACTATAAACATTATGTGCTCGAAAAGATTTTACCACTGCTGTCCACCACCCTAGAACACAAACTGCTAGAATAACACTTAGTTCTTGATGCAGGAAGCAAATGTTTTTGCTTTCAGGCCCTACATGGTCATTTAAAATTGTAAAATGGTTTAGTTCTACTTGAATACCAGAATATTAATCATAAAAAATCAAATACAAGTTATTTACTTAACAGATACTGTGAACTTACATTGTGCAAGTTACAAAAATAAACAAGATACAGTTCCTGTCCTCAGGGAACTTATAATCTTGTGAATGAGAAAGCAAGCTACATAAATCATATAAAAGAGCGAGTGACAGGGAAAAAAGGGTAAGCAAAAGTGTGGGATTGCAAGTCTACGGTTCCAAAAGGAATCCAGGAGTCCCCACCCAGTATTGAGACTGGTGATAAAGAGGCCTAGTGGGGGTCTCTGCTGTTCCAAATTTCCGTTCTGCTGGGGTGGTGGTGGCAACCGTTTTCAGGCTGGGATAGGAGATGGCTCCCCTGCTCCTTTGCTCCTACTGCCCCAGGAAAAGGATGGGAAGGGAGGTGTGGTCAACACCTGCAATACCTTTCACATTGAAGGACTATTGTGGCAGGTTATCGTAATTTTATACATTATTCATAAAACCAAGTGTGATTTTTTTTGCCATTAGTCCTGGGAACGTGAAGTGTAACTTTGCAAAATATCTTTGGATAATGGAATAAGAGCACTGACATTTAACAAAATCGATTCCAATTTTTAAAAAAATGTGAGGCTGTATTCAATATGTGACAATTCAATATGTGACAATAGAGGATGGCTCTATGTTGAGACTAAGACCTGTGATAGTTAATAGTAGATTCTCCAGTGCTAATATTACTATGAGCATAAGGTGTTGCAGACAAAATAATAAGTAATGTAATTCGGGTAATTGTCTGCTGTAGACGCTGCAGTGCGAGAGGCACAAGACCACTGTTAGTTCTGTGCGCTCATTGGCAGCACTGCCAGTAACTTCCAAGTGGCATCATGAATGTGAAGCCCCCAGAGGTGGCCCTGGGACAGGGCTGAGGTGAAGGAGTGGCTGATCAGTGATCTTCATGGCTTGTCCCTCCAGACATCAGTCCCCTGGTCTGAACATTGGCAAAGAGCAGGAGCCAGCGTTTTTCACAAGAGGAAATAAAATCAGCTAATAAATACTCAGCTGCATGCACAAGCAAAAGACTGTAAACTTAAAAAATCAGATGGTAGGTTATTATTATTATTAGATATATTTTTGCCGATAAGACTGGCTCAGATTTAAGTTCTTTCAGGTCACTAGGAGAAAGACATGGCCTGATTACTCGGGTTCAGAGTTTTGTAAACTCTGTTCAGCTCGGTGAGATACTGGTGGTGGTTTCACACAACCAACAAAAAAAAGTGATGCCAGTGATATATATTTTCCCCTAAATTAGATGTATTAATTAGAAAAAATAGAGTCTATTTACATAATTATTATGTAGTAATCTACCTTTAAGAATGAAATGACACACATGAATCTGATAGAGCTCAAATTTATAACTCACGCACTCTTGCTGTGTTATAAATATAAAAACTGTTCTGTAGTCCAAATAAGCTTGAGAAATGCTGTCTTAGTGACAGGGGCTCAGAGAAGCTCAGAGAAGAAGGAGGGCCCTGGACCTCATCAGAGTGGACACCCAGGTGCTCTGGGTCACAGGGCGCCCAGATGCCCCAGTCCCAGCAAAGCCATTTGTTGTCCTTCCAAATCAGAGCAGCTCTGGAGACCTTCCTTCTCTGTGAGTGTTCACACTTTCTCAGAGTCGCCATCCAACAAGGAGCTTTCCTATTGACTCCTGTGCTAAGCCACACTGACCAGTGGCCTCTCCTATGTCCAGGGCTGGTCACATTCAAAGTAGCAGGGCTTGGCTTCATTTGGAGCATGGTGGCATAAATCATCGTGGCTTTGCAGGAAGAACTGCTGAGAGTCCCTTTCCCTAGTCGACACAGCCATCCCTAGAAGGGTACAGGGCCTGGAGCGGTGGCTCAGGCTGGGACCGCCTGGGATAATTGCACTGAAAATGAGGCTGTGCTGTCAGCATCTTCCCTACGCTCTTTTTGGGATATTGTTCAAGTCAGAAATTTCTAAATTAAACTTTAATCATGCCCAGGAAGAGTTGGGTGCAGCTCCTGGCAGCTCCCTGCCCCATCCCACACATCATGCCCAAGGGCCAGCCATGCCCTGCACAGTGCTAAGTGCGGACGGGGTGGGGAGGTGGGCACTTGCACGTGGCTGGAGGGAGTGTGCACCATAAATTGCTCTCTGGAAAGCAGTTTACTGACAGCCTTTGAATTTCACTTCTGAGAATCTACCTTAAGGAAATAAACAAAAAAGCCCCAAAGCTCTAGGTGTAATTCTTCCCAGCATTATTTTATAACATTGAAGATTATCAAAACAACATAAGTGTATTTATACACTTATAAATATATATATACAGTAGGGAAGTGGTAAAATCTTATGACATATGAGAAACATAAATATTTTGCATATGATAAATTATAAAATATTATGCACCATTTAAATCATATGAATAAAATTTGATTAGCATGGAAAATTCTTATGTTTAGTACTAAAGGGGGAAAAGTGGGGTGTAAAATTGTAGGTATAGTCGGATCTCAACTATGTAAGGCCCTCCTTCCCTTCAGGATCAAGCTCTGGATTTCTAGTTTAGTCAGGCCCTGCTGCGCTGTCAGCCTCCTCTCTCACCTCCCTCCCTGCTTCTTACCTCAAATCCTGAACTGCTCCTTCTTCCCCAAAGCACCTGGCTTTCCCTGGCCTCTCTAGCCCTCTCTCCCCTCCCCCAAGTGACTCCTACTCTTCTCCAGGCCTCGGACACGCTGATGCCATCTTTTCAGGGATGCTGCCCTGCCCTCAAGGGCACGGAGTCCTCCCCTCTTTGGTCCCACACCACCCTGTGCCTACCCCGATCTCACTTCTTGTTCATCTGTCCCCCTCCTACACAGGGCAGAACTGGGCCTTTTTCACCAGTGTATTCCAGCAGCACCTGAAAAGTGTGGGACATATAGTAAGCACTCAGTAAATACTTGCTGAATGAATGAACACAGCTAGTGGAAATCTAAGAAGTAAGGATGGTTGCATCTAGCCTCCTTAAAATAAACGTGGTTTGCTAAACACTGACACTGCCAGCTGGAAGGTCAGAGCGGGGACACTGCAGGTTTCTGTGGCAACGTTCACTTCTATGGCATTTCTAGTGGGGTTGCTTGTTCTCTAAAGGGTCTGGGGCAGAGAACGAGAGGTAGCTGGACGTGAATGCTCTAACTGTGATCTCTCTTAGCGGTAGGTATGTAGGCTTTAGCTTGATCTTGAATGATACATGTTTTTCTCTAGATGACCTTTCATTTGCCTCTTATGTTACATTTTCTAAGAATTCAGGTGGAGACACTTGTCCCTAAGGTTCCTCTGATCTGATTCCAGAACAAATGACTGGGGACCCTCAGGCATAACAAATTGTACCGGGGCCAATTAGGATTATTTTTTTTAAACTTTAACTTTAGATTCTTGAGCAACAGCTTCAGCAAATGAAAGCAACTTATCAGCTAAACCAAGAGAAGTTAGAGTACAACTTCCAGGTGCTGAAGAAAAGAGATGCAGAGAGCACAGTGATCAAATCCCAGCAGAAGAGGAAGACCAACCGGTAAGCCAGCCCGCGGAGCATCTTTCTTCTGGGCCCTTCTGCTGAGAAGAGGGGTAGGGGTGTACTCTTTTGTAGGAGCAGAAACTGTTAAAAGTATAACCAGTTCTTACTGAAAGAGTTTTTTTGGTTAAACAATGCATTCAATGGGATCTACTCCACCTCCCCCCCGCCCCCAGAAAAGAGTCTACAGCAAAAAGTGTGTCTCCCGTCCCTCCTTTCTCTGGATCCTCTTTCTCACCTCTGTAACCACTATTTGTTTCTTTGGCGTCTTCCAGAATTTCTTTATGCAAATACAAGCAAACACAAGTAGACCGGCTCATCTCCCTCTGCTTTTACACAAGTGATAGCATTCTGTACACGTTGTTCTGGATCTTGAACATGTTTCCACACCAGTTCATAGAGAACGTTCACATTATTTCTTAAGCTGCCTAGTATTCCATTGCTGAGATATGCTGTGATTTACTTAACCAGTGCCATATTGTTGCACATTTAGATGGCTTCTAATCTCTTGCTATTACAAATAATACCAACATAAGTATTCATGTCAGTGTCACTTTACGTAGGTGCTGAACTATCTGTAGAATAAATTCTCAACTTGTAATTACAGAAGCAGTACATGTGCACTATAGAAAATATCACAAGTGAAAGTAAGATAAAAACATAAAACCACCATATTCCTGTTGCCAGAGATTGTGTATCTCTCTCTCTCTAGATAGATAGGTAGATAGACAGATGATATAGATACAACATCATACTGTTCCTATTGTCTTGCAATCTACCTTTTTTTAAAGTCAACATCTTCCACCTTTCCATTTCAGTAAGTTTCACTTTATCTGAATATCCAGATCACATTCAGATTTCCCCAGTTGTCCAAAGATATCCTTTACAGTAGGTTTGTCCAAACTAGCATCTCATCTGGGACCAGGCATTGCATCAGGTTGTTAAATTGAGTTCTTCGAGTCTCTCTGACCTATGAGATCCTCCCCTCCCCTCCACCTGCCAACCTCCTTTTTACATGATACTCAACTTACTATACTTACTGTATCCTCTTTCCTTGAGGATGTGTGTGTGTGTGGTGGGGGGTGGAACCAGTTATTTATTCAAAAGTCTGGACCAGTTATTTTATAGAATGTCCCACTTTCTGGATTTGAATGGTTTGTATTTACTTGTTTCTCTGGCCCTATATTTCCAATGAATTGTAAATTATAGCTACAGACTTATGGATTCAGTTTACACATTTTGGGCCAGAATATTGCGTCAGTCATATTGCATTATAATGGAAGACACATTGTACTGCCTAGTTGATCCATCATTAGTGATACTAGGATTAACCAAGGGTTAGGGTGAGGAATGCATTTGTGATTTGGACATTGCCAAATTGCCCTCTTAGGAGATTTATGCTCTCTGCAGCAATGTGTACAAGTACCTAGCGCCCCACAGCCTTGACATTTTGTCAGGAGTGTAAGTGAGAAGTTGCATCTCAATGTATTTTTATCTAGCATTTCTCTTGCGGATGAAATCAAGCATAGTTTTACATGTGTGTGAGCCATTTGGTATTCTTATTTATGAATTATATACTATGTCTGAGTATGCCTGGTCTACTCTTCTATTAGTTTTTTTTTCCCTCTTCCATTTCAGTGCTCCTTCCATGTAAGGGAGATTAGCCTTTTCTTTAGGAATTGCAAATATTTTAAACTGGTTTGCTGTTTGTGGATTTTTGCAATGCAGATATTTTAAATCTGCATGTTGTTGAGTCTGTCAGTATTTTCCTTTATGGCTTCTGGGTTTTGACTCATAGTAAGAAATGCCTTCTCCACTCTGAGGTTATAAAGGAATCCTTCCATGTTTCCCAGTGAGACATTTATAGTTTCATTTTACACTTAAACTTTCAACCTGTTTCGACTTGATCTTAGTGTATAGTGCGAGGTGTGAGTCCAACTCTTATTTTTACCCAGATGGCTAATGATTGTCCCAATGCCATTCCCTACTGATTGGAAATGACAACTATTTTACTTAATTTTGAAAAAAAAATATTTTAAATTGAATTTATTCATTTATTTCTATTTGGAGGGGGTACTGGAGATTGAACCTGGGACCTCATGAATGTCAAACATGCATGCTACCACTTGAGCTGTACCCTTCCCCTGAAATATATTTTCATCTTTCTGATTCACTTGTCTGTTTTGTCTTTTTAGGTCCCAGTTCTACACTGTTCTCATTGTCAGGGCCGTCTGATATGTCTTAATATGTGAAAGGGCTAGTCTTCCCATATTGCTCTCTAAAATTGTAACCAATTCTTGATTCTTTATAACAAGGACACAGGCAATTACCAAACAAGATAACATTTATGTAGCTTATTTATTTTTGGTGTTTAAATGAAATCAGAGGTATATTCACACACCACACTTGTTCAAACACTCATTCTCCCTGCTGCTTGGTGCCGATACTCTGGCTTTACTGAAGGATGCCTATTACTTGGGACTTCTCACCCATCCTGCCCCTTCCCTATCTTCTTTTCTGTTTCCTTCTTCCCACCCCTCCTCCTATTGTTCCTTTAAGAATTGCCTCCTAAGTTCCAAACCATTGTGGGAGGCTCTGAAGATCAGAGAAGAATAAGACATCTTGTTTAATCCTTGTTTGAGGATTTTCCTCCAAAGCCCAAACATCTTATTACTATTTATGAATTCTTCCACTTGTAGATTGATGATACATTTTAGACAGATGTTGTATAGAGAAATACTAGTTGAACATTTGATAGTTACTTATAAGAGAAAATGATACTGAATAAATGAGCTGGCATCTTAAGCATGATTTATCTGAGATAAGCAAGAGTATTTAGGGGACAGTATTTATGGGAGAATCCTACGTCATGCACCATACTAGATAGGGGAACATCAGTGGCATCACACTGTGGTGCAGTGAGAAGGACTTATCCGGGAAGGCTTCCTGAAGAAGAGAAGGGGGCAGGTTATAGCTCAGTGGTAGAGCTTAGCATGCACAAGGTCCTGTGTTCAATCCCCAATACCTCCATTAAAAATACATAACATACATACATACATACATACATACATACATAAACATAATCCACCCCCCAAAAAAGCCTGAAAAAATTAAATTAAAAAAAAGAAAGGTAAGAAAAAATAGTGAAGGGGGAGGGACATGAAATGGCATAAAGGAGTTCAGAGAAGACTTCAGGGCAGGCAGGGCTGGAGCCAGGAATGGCAGGTCCACAGGCAAGGAGGTCGGAATCAGAAAGTTAGATGTTTGATCAAGAGGCTGCAGAGTGGGAGAGGGAGGTTGACAAGATGGCAGGTAGAGTTTGGTTTTGATCTACAGATGAGTGCTGTCACCCCCACCATCCTGTCTTCACCGGCTCTTCCCTCTTCCCTCAAACCTACACGGGTTTCCTTTATCCTGAAGAACCTTTAGCCCACCTGCTACTCCTCCTCCATCAGGACCCTCTTTTTTCTCTTCTTGCTTTCATGGCCTTTTTCCTTTCCTCATCACTTCCCCACCCCCCACATTCATAATTTGACCCCAGAATTGGACAGAAACTCTCCTCTGTAGGGCACCAAGGATGCCCTTCTGGCAAACACTGTGGTTTGTCCCCAGGCCCCATCTTATTAGTGTTTTGCATACTGCATCTCAGAACTTCTCTCTTTTGCTTCTCTGCCTCCAAACTATTTGCTCTTATCTCTCCATTTATCCCTAATTTGTTTGCTTTGGCGGTTCTGCTTAATCTTGCCTGATAAGCTATTCAAGAAAGCTTCTAACCCCTTTGCTTTTTATTTTTATCCATCTACCCTGTCCATCCGTCTCATGGCTTTGGACATCGCCTCTTCATATCCTTAATTCGGACCTCACTGCCTTGCTTTTTCTGAAACTGCCAGTGGAACATTTCAACTTGGAAAGTCACTGTCATTTCCAGAGTACAGTGTCTGAAAGCAGCCTCACCCACCCTCCATCTGCCTCCCTTCAACTCCAGCTTCCGGCCCTCACTAGGGACTCAACTTTCTGTTGTGTCTCCCGGCACAGCCATCCTCTCCCGTTCCCCCCACTCCTGCTCCCTGGCTCAACCTCCACTATATACCTGGAGTTTATTCATGTTTTATCAGCTTCTATGTTGAGGTAATACATAGAAACTCCTTTATTAAATGGTGTTGGAAAAAACACTTTGGGATGGCTACTTAAAAAGTTTTTATATCTGTATGTGGAAAGTCTCCTAGAATGCGGTAGTCAAGAAAATGAATTAGGTATTTCTTTTTATAGGAGACTAAGTCAAATAATGTTTGCATTTTATTAAAGATGAAAATAGGAATGCTCAGTGTTTATGTTTTAGGGAACTTGTGATTATTTCAGAATAAGGCTTGGAAGAGGGAAAATTTTATTTTTAGAATTTTAAAAATGAAACCATGTCAGCTCTTAAATCTCCCTATTCCTGTGTGAGTGGGCAAAGTCTGAGGTCTGGTCTTGGGTCCAAAAGCCACACCTGCCATGTGTTACTTCATGGGACAAGTTTCCATGCACAGAGCTCCTGTGAGCAGTGAGCCAGGGACCGGTGGCCTGCCTGCCTTCACAGATCTCTGGCCAGGCCAAAGCTGTCTCATGGTGCTGAAACCTTTGACCATTCTGTTCTGCAAGCCAGGGTAATTTAGATGCCCCCTGGCACCCGGTGTAAAACTCCTCTGTAGCACTTTTCACATTGTACTGTCGTTAACACTGGTTTTTGTCTCTGGACAGACAGTGCCTTGTACTCAGACATATCCTTGGCACGAAAGAGAACTTTCATGTTTGACGAATGAATGAGTGAGTGAATGAATGAGTTACTGGACTTGAACAGTAGCAGCTCTTTGGGGATGGAGGACTCATGTATCATAGGCTTGTGGTGCAGTTTTTAGTTTTTCCTTTCTGTTTTCCTGGTTTCTGAAGTTGGGACAGGTTATTTAAATCTGGGAGGCCGGCACGAGCTGTGGACCCTGACAGGCGGTGTGTTGAGGACGATTCAGTCACTCTCTTGGGAAGGAGACTGCCTCTTGGTGGGTTTGGGCTTCTGGATTGTTTTAAATGCACTTAGTCTGGTGCTGCTGTTACCTCCTGTTGCTCTCCTTTCCGTGATCACAACTGGAGCTGTACTGTGGAAAATACAGGAGGGTTTTCTATACCTTCCTCCAGTCTGACCTGGGTTTTGTAGGACTGAGTGCAGGAGACGAGAGGAACATACGCGGCAGCTTCTATGAAGCTGCAGACTAACTTTTTCTTCCCTCTTTGACCCAGCCTGCATGATGTTCTTATCAATCTGAGATCAAAATATAACAAGCAGGTAAAGCTGTTTCAGGAGGAGAACCGGTCACTAACGTCAGACTACAAACGCCTTGTGACGCAGTTCAAGGAGCTGCAGAAAGCCATGAGGTATTTCAGGGATTTGGGTCCCAAGGCATGTGCCCTGGAATAGAGGTTGGGGAGTGCGTAGAGTGGGTGGTGGCAGTGGTTTCATTAGACTTTGATATCACCAGCTTTTTGGGAGCTGGACCAGGGCACTAAAGAACCCTCTGTGCTTCCTTTCTCGTCTCTTTACTTTTGTGTAACCTGCCTTTTCTTAAGACTTGATGGGATGGCTTCTGGTCTGTAGGTGAGAATCAGGGCTGAGGCCAGGCCCAGGACTGACCACAGCTCTGCCTCACTTCTTGTCCTTCTGCCAGTTGGGGGTGAGGGTGGGGGGCCGGGCAGGCCCTGGAGTCAGCTGGCCACGCTCAATAGCGCTCCTTCACAGGCACTTTGCTCTTATTGATGACAAGCAGTTTCGGGAGATTTGGCTGATGAATGAAGAGGAGGCAAAGGATCTGATAAGCAGAGCCTTTGATGTGGACAGGATCATCCATATGCAACATCTGGGTCTCCCCTGGACGGCACCTGACTTCTGGTTCCTGAGGAACGTGGGGCCGATTTCTCAGCAGCAGAAGTCGGCCACACACATCTTAGAAGAAGTGCTGATGCAAGCAGGTGACTGGAGCAGAGTCATAGCATCTTGGAGCTGGAGGGGAGGGGCCGTCTGAGAATGTCAGGTCAGCTCATTCCTTTTACAGATAAGGAAACTCAAGGCAGAGAAGGGGGAAGAGGTTTCATAGCTCAGAGGTCTGGAGAGCATGATGGGCAGATATGGCTTTTAAGTCTCTAATGTATAGCTTTACCCTCTCCCCTGTATTGTAAGCTGGCAGTTAGATCTAGAAGCTTGATCAGATTCAAGTTCAATTTATTTTTGTTCCATATGCTGCTGTGTACCTTCATTGGAATAAACTGATGTCAGCTTGTCTCTCTCTTTGTGATGTTAGCAGTCACTGATAATCATTGTCTAAGATCCATTCATTGCATTAGGGGCTGCAAGATGGTGTCATTCCCAATTCTGTGATTGTGTCTTCATTTATTAGCTGGAACACTTCTGAAAAGAGAGTCTTCTGCTCATCAGCTGTTTGTTGCCCTAAAATACAGTCTGTACAGGAAAAGCAGGATAGACACTTAGTCTTTCTCTAGTTAGCAGTTTTCAGAATAAATGGATTGGGTCTCTAGCGTCTTCCAAGGGTGACCGGTGAGGTCTTATTTTAATTTTTCACTATGAACCATTTGGATTTAAACAAATGTGATGTGTTTCGGTTTACTTCTGTTACCCCCCCTCACTAATGCTTAATGTATCCCATCTTTGGCCAGCGGGAGTCTCTTCGTGTTGACTTCTGGGTCCTTTTGACACAACCCCAGTAGTCTTTGATGGTTTCCTGGCTTTCCAGAATGACTGGATGTTCCAGGCTCATGTTACAATTTTCCTGCTTCAAGTCTGGAATCAGTCATTCCTCCAAGGAGACCTGGTCCCTTTTATTTTTTTTTAAATTTATATTCTTTTTTTTGAGGGGGGGGGCTGGTAATTAGGTTTTTATTTATTTAAACAGAGGTACTGGGGATTGAATCCAGGACCTTGTTCATGCTAGGCATGTACTCTATCTACCACTATACCCTCCCCACTAGACCTGGTCCTTTTAAACAGGGAATGGCATATTGAGACTGGGTGCTGGAGTGCTCACTGTTTTGATTAGTCATTGTTTCTAGACCTTATCAGTGGATGAGCCTAGGGTATAGGATTATGTTTTAAAGATAAAATAAATCATATATTCATCCTCATACTTCCAAATCATCGGATGCCAGGATTTTTACTTAACCTTATCAAAATATAACTCCGTTCTCCTAACTTGAAAATCTCGGTATTCAATGCCTCCAAAATAATTACTTATACACTTTTTTCGCAATACTACAAAATAGTTCTAGAATAAAAGATTTACCCTATCACTAACAAATGATTACTAAAAATAGTTTAAACTTCTTTTGCAATTCTTTGGCTTCTTAGGATGTGTCCCACTAGGGATGTACAGGGAGATCACTGTCTTTTGAAGTCAACTTGGAATAGTTTCTGTGTGCTTATGTCCCTAACTGGATACACGTTTAGGTCTTTTTGTTTCATTTTAGTTTTGATTGTTAGTGTTTGCTCTTTTACAATTTAACACTGTTTTATAATTATGTGAAGTATTTACATGCTTCCAAAGTCAAATGTACAACAGAAGTTACACTTAAAGAAGTGTAGCTTTTATCCACTTTTGTCCCCTCTTCTATAGGTAACTAAAAATAACACAGTTTATCCTTCGGTTACTTTAAAAAATTATAAACAAATGTGTCTATATTTACATAAACCCATTTTTTAGGCAAATGAGAGTGTATGCTTTTTTCCACGTTGCTTTTTTCATGTACATCGTATCCTGGAAATGAGTCTATAGTAGAAAGAAAAAAATACTCTTCGTTTCGCTCCTTTTTTATCTGGTACTCCATTTGTGGCTGTGCCATGACTTATTCAGATAAGTCCTCTGTTGGTCATTGGCTCTTTCCAGTTTTTTGTTTGTTTTTGCTCTTATAAACATTGCTGCAATAAATAGCGTCATGCATTTGTGTTTCCTTGTAAACTACTGGGATAGATCCCTAGAAGTTGGATTGCTGGATCAAAGCGTAAATGCCTCTGTAATTTTGCTGGCTTTTGCTCCTTAACGATGGTACCATTTTGCATTTCTGCCAGCAATTTGCTATCTTGTACTTTTCAAAATCTTTTCATATATATTATCTCACTTTAGCTTTTGAACAACTAGTAAAACCTGGGTAGTACAATGATTTTTATACCTACTTTCAGGTAAGGAATATGTGTACTATAAAACATTTAAAATTTTAATTTTAATAAAAATTGTTGGCTCTTGCTATCAGCTGCCAATTGTTGCTGATAATATTCTTCTGTGGGGCAACTATTTCCCACCTTTCTGTTGGCTGCTTCTAATCTGCTGCAGGCTTAGGAACTATAGAGTAGGTGTGTTAGATTTATCTCTAAAATAAGGACAAATAGGTTCATGGTCTCCCTCCCAATTCCTGGTCAAGGCTGGACGCTGTCTCCGGGTAGATGAAGTTGGGAAGAGTGAGGTGTTACAGGCTGGCTGAGAATGGCGGAATTCTCCAGACGGTTTCTTATCTCAACCCCCAATCTCCCTGGTTTCCCCCACATGATAGGCTTTCTTCAGCTAGGGACTCTCTAGTGCCTTAGAGAGGCTTTTTCAGACGTAAATTTTCTAAGGAATCATCCCCCCCCTCTTTCTCTCTCTCCCTCCCTCTCCCCCCCACCTTCTCTCTGTGTCCCTCTGCAGAAGAGGAGGGTGCAGAGGAGTCTGAATCAGAGTCTTACCTGGACCTGCCAAAGCAAGTTTCAGCGAAAACTACCCGAAAGATCTTGATGCTCCTGTGTGACGAGTCGGTGAGGCTGCGCTCCTGGGGTGACTTTGCTGACTTTTTTGCTTTTGCTTCTGCTGACACTGGCCGGGCCAGATGTGGCCTGGAGGAAGAAGGGGACCGGCTCACAGGAGTGATGCTGCGGGATGGTCCCTGGGCTTCGTGGGGCCAGATACAGAGAGGCTGTGCCTCAGAGCTGGCCCAGCTGGGTCCTCCTTTAGTGGGTCAGCAAGGCAGGTCCAGGCAGCTGATGGGCTCCTGCTAGTTAAAGGAAAAAAGCTTATTTTGCGAGAGACAGGGCAGCAGGCTTGCCTCTGTGCGTCCACCTGACAAGTAGTGTGGCCAGAACTGATGGTGGCCTTTCTCTGGGAGCTTGTTTTGCGATTACTCTGGGGGTGTTAGGGTATCCTTGCTGTGTATTAGCAAAACCCAGTAGACTTAGTGTAAAGGCTGCATTGTGGCTGATTCGGCTAGAAGTCAGATTGTACCCCAACATGGTTGGTGTTTATTTAAACCTTGATTTCTGAGATGGATGAGAAAGGTGGAGCGAGGATTGGCAGCCTCCAGTCCACTTGGCACAGTTGGGACAGTTTTCTCGGGCACAAGGGCGGCTCCTGCTGAAGGGGCGGCTGGCAGGGAGTCCCCTCTCTGTCCGCAGACTTGCTGCCAGTGGCCACCTCTCCGCGGAGACCTCCCTCAGGTGTCCCCAGCTCTGAGCAGGCACCCAGACCTCTCCCCACCCCCACCTCATGTGCACTGGGTTCCGATACAGTGTCTCCATCTCCCTCCATGCCTTCTCCTCCAGCTCAGTGCGTACTGCTGTGTTCTGTAGATATCTGGGGACTAGCATTTGAGTGAAGTGACATGGGTGGGTGGGGGCCTGTGACTGGATTAGGTCTGGACTGCTGGCGAGCGTTCCAGTGTTCGCCCAGTGGCTTGTGGGCAAGACAAGCCAGCATCCTTCTGAGGTGGTGGGAACTAAATCTGTCACGAGGATTGGCTTTGTCCCTGGGAGGGGCTCTTAGGCATCCCAGGATGACCTTCCTCTGGGGACCCCGTCCCCCAAAGTGTCATCCCTGTGGTCTGCTCTGCGGAGTCACGCCTGGCTAGTTACCCAGAATGGGGCTGAGGGGCCTGACCCCTGTTTCTGACTGGACAAGCCATCTTCCTTCTCCTCAGGGCTTCCTCATAGAGAAAAAGCTGCTGGGCCTTCTCCTGCCCCTGGAGAAGGACGAGTGTTACATGCTGAGGCTGGATGCCATCTTCTCAGTGAGTCTCTTGGGCTAGGGATGGGGGGCCCATCTGAGACAGCCGCCTGTGTCCCCCAGCATTGCCTTAGCCCTGGGAGTAGATGCGGGTCTCCTGGGGCTTCCCTGGGCCCACTATGCCCTCCTTCCCTTTACCTGCTCTCCTTGAAAAGCACACTGGCCTCGGAGTCTGAGTCGTGTAGCTGCCACCCGTCCCCGCCCCTCCCTCTGCTGACTCCTCTCTACTCTGGGTGGTCTGCAGCAGGGCGGGTGCTGGGGATGCTGAGGGGAGCCTGCCTCACCTGCTGCTCTCAGGAGCAGAGGGTCTGGTTGCCCCTGGAGCCAGAGGACTTGTTGGTGTGGTGTTTGAGCAGTTCTTCTACTTTTTTCCATCAGGCCCTTGGAATTGAAAATGAGGATGACTTGTATAAACTGGTGAACTTCTTCCTCAAATACCAAGCTCTTCACTTACCTCCCCCCCAGGTAAGGTGAAGCTCAAGGAAAAAGAGAGCATTTAAAATTCTGGATGTTCTTACAAGACATTACTGCTTTTGAATAATGCTTCTGGAGAAATAGAGAAATAGCAAGGGTTTTATGTCAAGGACAGCTAACTTAGCATTTCCCTTATTATTATTACAACTTTTTTGTATTTGCAAAGGGAAAGATGGCTGGGGATGAGATGCTGTTCTTATACCGAGGCCCAGGGGGTCTTTTCCTGGGCCCTCTCTCAGGGCCAGGTCTCAGCCACATGAGACCTGGGTTTACCAAGCTCTGAATATTTTGATCTGTAACACTTTCCTGTAGAGCAGGACCCATTTTTAATGCCTATCTTCTTGTTTGTTTTGGGTGTTTTTTTGGTGGGGGGAGGTAATTAGGTTTATTTATTTATTTATTTTTAGAGGAGGGCCTGAGTTCAGGACCTCGTGCAGGCTGAGCATGCGCTCTAGCACTTGAGCTATACCCTTCCCCTAATACCTATATATTTTTTTGTAACTAATGACTATTCTGAGGATGTTAAAAATATTACACAATTTTAATTTTAAAATTCAAAGAATGTTTTTCAGTATTGCTTGCCCCAGGATGTATATGCTTCCAAAAAGAGTTGGCTGAGTGGACAAAACCCAGAAGCCAGAAGAAAAACAAGGGACATATTTGACTGGATTGAAAAAAAATTCTGTAGGGCAAGAATCACTATAAGCAAAGTTGAGATACCTATGACAGGAGAGGAAAGTATTTTTAGTTTACATCAAAGTTAAGGGCTAATTTCCTTAAAATATAAAGAACTCACATAAACCAATAAGAAAAAGACCCACAACTCAGTGGAACAGACTAGGGATATGAACAGACACCTCTTAGAAGAGAAATACAAATAACTTTTAAACATATGAAAATATAATCAAGCTTTCTTGTAAGAGAAATGCAAATTAAGAGTGCTGAAATTCCATTTCATCTGTCAGGTCGGCAAAAATCTGCAAGCTTGGTAACACATAGTGATGGCTGAGGTTTAGGAAATAAGCATGCTCATAATTTGCTGGTGTGAATGTAAATTGTTGCAGCCTCCATGGAGAACAGCTTGGCAGGATCGATTACCAAACTGTATAGTACACTTCACCCTGTGATTCCTCTTCTAGGATTTTATTCTATGTATATCTCCTACAGTCGAAATGATGTGTTTATCCTAGCTTATTCACTGCAGCATCACGTGAAATGGCAGAAGACTGGAAATGACCTAAATTTCCATCATTAAAGAATTGATTAAATAATATATGGAGCATCTACACAATGGAATACTATACAGTTGTAAAAAAATCAAAGAAATTCTCTATGTATTTATACAAAAAGCTCTCTAAGGTTTATTGGCATGTGAAACTATCCTATGTACGTAGTAGAGTATCATTCATGTGAAAATGGGGAGGAAAGGTGATTGTGCTTCTACGGGCATGTATTTCTTTGGAAAGATGCCTAAGAAATGGATAACACTGGTTTGCCCGTGGGAGGTAAACTGAATGAACTGAGAGGCAGGAGGAGGAGGAATTTAAAATTTAAAAATTAAAATAAAATTTAATTTGTATTATGATTCGATGATATTTATATCATATAAGTGTTACAAATATCAGTAAAATGAACACCTGTGATCCGGATTTAGAAATAGAACATTATCCCTGTTTTGAAGCCTCCCCATGCGCCTCTCCCTGGTCCCATCCTCCTCCTTCCTCACTCTTCCTCCTTGTGATTTCTTTCCTTGTGTAAAGGTCTCCTTCTGCATCTTTGCCATAAATTCTGTCATCTTCTGTAAACTTCTCTCCGTTTCTTCTCTTCCTGTCTGTCTTCATGCACTCATGCATATGTACCTACAAACCCCTTGCACCTTTCTCCAGATCAGCCCCCCGCATCTCTGTCACCCCTGTAGGAGCAAACCAGCCTGGTCTCAGCATTGGAGCCAGTGGAACAGCTGGTCCTCCAGGGAGAGAAGTCGGGGAGCCTTGCAGAAGGGGAGCCACAAGAGCAGAAGCCCCCACCTTCTCCCAGGCTCATCCACCCCAATGACGTCCTCAAGATTCTGGAGGCCTTTGTCATGGGTCTGAGGAAGCCCAGGTGGGCTGCAGGGCTGGAGGGCTTGCCCGAGAACTGGGGAAGCTGGTTGGGATGCAGGGCCCAGCAGATGCCAGTGAGGGGAAAAGAGGCTACCGAGCCAGGTCTTGGGAGAGTGAGTGGAGGGGTGTCTGGAAGGAGGGCAAGAGGACTCTATGGACATTACAGTGAAAGAAATGCCTGTAGAAGTGATTTGCATGTTTTCATTCAGGATTCATTCATTCAGTGATCATTTGTTGGGTCTACTGTGTGTGCAGGCCTCGTGGGGATAATGCCTTGTGATCAGAATAGTGGTCAGAGCACATATGAGTGTCACATGCTCTGACGGGGACACAGTCACCTCCATTTGGCATGTCACAGAGGGCTTTAGGAGGGGATGGCACCAGAATTGGGTTTTCCTAGGTGGACAAGGTTGGGGAAAGGGCCTTTCAGGATGTCACAGCCCAGGGAAAGGCCTTGTTCAAGAATCATGACTGGAGAGAGGTGTGGCTGAAATGTCAGGGTCTGGGGAGTGGGACCAGCTTGGCTGGAGGAGCCAGGCCAGATCCTGAGAGTCTTCCTCGAAGTGCCCAAGGTCTTGATCTTCACCCTTTAGTGGACCGGAGCCAGAAAATGGTCTTAAGCCAAGGGAATGTCATGAGTAGACTTGCATTTTAGAAAGATCACTTTGGTGGCAGGGAGAGGCTGATGCTGGATGCAAGGAGAGTAGTCAGAAGGTCTGGGTGGAGGGGCTCTCCTGGATTAAGGCTGTCCTAAGAGGAGGTGGGGAGCAGATGACAAACTTTAAGCGCTGTTTAGCCTGCATTTGTGGAGGAAATGGTCATAGTCATGAGCTGTAAAGCCAGTGAGGTAAACTGACTGAGAGAAAGAGGGTGGATGAAACTGCAAGGACACTTTCACAAATGTGACAATGGCACCAGGAATCTGTAACATTGATGATAAGCAGTTGTTCTTTCTGAGAATCTCTCATAATTTGCTGAACTCATATGGCTGAGAGGGAAGGTGACAGGTGGAAAAGCAGTACGTCTGTGAGGGGCAGGCACTGCTTGGGCACCTGGGTGATGACAGGTGGAGATGATTGTACCAGTGCTCTCAACCTTCAGGGACTTTCAGGTACCAGTGAAGTTGCTGAAGGTTGTGCGCGATGACTCAAAGGACTCTGAGTACTGGAAAGCCCTGAGCACGGTTATCCCTTCCACCAAGCAGAACCTCTGGGATGCCCTCTACACGGCCTTGGAGAAATACCAGTAAGTGTGCATGTTACGGCCCAGGAGGAGGAGGGAGCCGAGCAGGTTGGTGGGAGAAGGATCATGTTTGGAGTGGCCACATTTGCCACCTCCCTGTCCCATGAACTCTTAGAGAGAACAGCTGCCTTTGGCAACTCCTGTTGTGGAGGCGGGGTGAGGGGCTGGGGTGTAGTGTTGGGGGTGAGCCCTCTGGCACCGCCCTCCCTGTTCTGTTCCCACTGCCTGGCTCCTTCAGGGCAGGAGGGCTGCTCTGCCGGGCGAGGCTTCTGGGTTCCTCTTCCACCTCCAACCAGAGTAGAAATGCAGAGATTCTGGCTCCTACTTGGTAGAGGATGGAGGATCCAATGGGCCTCTAACTGATTTTTCTGCCTAAAGCCTTGTCCTGACCCAGAGAGCTGAGCTGCTGGTAGAAAACCAGTGTCTGGAGCAGCAGAACACGGAGCTCCAGCAGCTGCTGCAGCAGTATCTAGACTCCAGGGTGGGTGACGGGACCCTCCAGGGAGGGTGGGCAGGGTGCTGGGGGGGCAGTGGGACTGGAGCATGTATT